ATGCGTTCAAGGAGGGCAGGAATACGACAGTTACGGGTTTAACTGACGTCCCTACTCCTCTTTCTTTCTCAGAACGCATTTCCTCTCCCTTTCACGGGAGGCCCACCTTGGGCTGTTCCACCACTTCAATGTCGGGGAACAGTGGCGGTAAGGGCCATAGAGGAATACAGGTCCTTCCTACTGGATGCACCACAGCTTCGCGCCCAGCCACTTTCTCTGCATTGCTGGCAGTTGCGAAGAAGCTGCACCCTCTCACGCTGGCTAGAACAGACGTTGCAGAAGGGTTATGCTCTCCAATTCCACCGGACCCCACCCCCGTTCAGGGGAGTGGTGGAGACGGTGATGAAGACGCCAGACAAAGTGGCCGCTCTGATGACAGAGATTACGGAACTTTTGGCGAAGGAGGCGGTGACAGTAGTTCCCCGGGAGCAAAGGAACAAAGGGCTATATTTGCCTTATTTCCTAGTGCCCAAAAAGACGGGAGGAGTGAGGCCGATTTTGGATTCACGCATTCTCAACGAGAGCATAACCAAACGGCCCTTCCGAATGCTAACGACAAAACGCCTGCTGGAATGTGTCCAGAAAGGGGATTTTTGTACGAGCATAGACCTAAAGGACGCGTACTTTCATGTGCCGGTTCAGCCGCGTCACAGGAAGTTTCTGTGGTTCGCCTTTCAAGGGGTAGCGTGCGAATACACGAGGATGCCATTTGGGTATGCCCTGGCACCTCGCACATTTTCCAAGTGTGTGGAGGCGGCATTGGAACCGTTGCGTCGTCAAGGAATACGGCTACTAGCCTACCTGGACGACCTACTGGTTCTCGCCCCGTCAGCAGAGCTGGTGATCACTCACACAACACAGACAGTGATGCATCTCACAAGTCTGGGGTTTGCTGTGAATTGGAAAAAGAGCGCGCCCTGGCCCACTCATCAGATTGTCTACCTGGGGATACAGCTAGACACTGTGAGGATGAGGGCTCGAATTTCGGACCCCCGAAGGGTAGCCTTGTTGCTAGCCCTAAGGAAGTGTCGTCCGGATCACACGGTAACGGCGCTGTCGATCATGTCACTTTTGGGTCTCATGTCGTCAGCCCACTCTGTGGTTCCGCTGGGACTCCTGCACATGCGCAGGATGCAGCGATGGTTCGCCCAACTAAGACTAGACCCATTGCGTCAACGTCATCGGTTGGTGGTGGTTCCCCTCTCGCTCAGTGCAGACCTAAACTATTGGAGAAACTCGCGCGTTCTCACGCACGGAGTCCCGATAGGAAAGGTGTCCTCTCACATCCCAGTATTCACGGATGCGTCCCTGACGGGATGGGGAGGGACATGTCAGACACAAGCGATAGGAGGTGTGTGGCCTCAATCAGGTCGTCACATCAACCTCCTGGAGTTGGAAACGGTTCGACTGGTTCTGACCCACTTCGCGTCTACCCTTCGGGGTCGCGATGTGCTGGTCTGGTCAGACAACCGGACCACAGTAGCCCACATAAATTGCCAGGGAGGAGTCAGGTCTCCTGCTCTCCATCGGGCGGCAGAGGAATTGTGGCTGTGGGCTCACGAGCACCTTCGCTCATTGAGAGCAGCACACATTCCGGGCTACTTGAACGTAGGAGCAGACCTCATGTCAAGAGGGGGTCCTCGAGACGACGAGTGGTGTCTGCATCCAGACATTGTTCTCCAGATTTGGGAACAATTCGGGAGAGCCGAGGTGGACCTATTCGCGTCACGCGTGAACGCGCAATGTCCTCTGTGGTTCTCTCTGAGGGAACAGGACGAACCGCCACTGGGAAGGGACGCCTTTGCGCACCAACCGTGGCCGAGAGTTCTCCTGTATGCATTCCCTCCGCTGTCCTGCATTCTCCCACTGCTAGCCAGGGTGAGGTCAGGGGGGCTGTCAGTGATACTGATAGCACCCGATCGCCCGGGGGCTCTGTGGTTTGCGGAGATGAGTCAGATGTTGATTGCGCCACCTTGGCCAATTCCACATCGACGGGACGCGTTGTCTCAGGCGGCTGGCACGATAGGGAAATTGCCCATAATCGGCCAACCACTGAAGGCCTGGCTGCTGAGAGGGACAGGCTAGAGCGCCGTGGGTTATCTGATGCGGTGATCAGGACCATACAGGGTTCACGTGCCAGTTCCACTTCTAAGATGTATGCCAGTAGATGGAACGTGTTTTCACGATGGTGTGTCACACAAAGTGTGGACCCCATGAGCTGTCAGGTGGAGAGTATTCTCTCTTTTCTGCAGCTCATGTTTGATAAGCAAAAATCGCCTGCCACGATTAGAGTGTTTGCAGCAGCGATTTCAGCTTGTCATGAGGGTTTTGGCAGAGACAATGTCTTTAGTCACCCTCTAGTGAAACGCTTCCTATTAGGAACGCGGCGACTTAGGCCAACACCTAGAGTCACGCTTCCTCAGTGGGATTTGGCTTTGGTACTCGAAGCGCTATGTAAGTCGCCGTTCGAGCCATTGAATCAAATACCCCTCAAGATGCTGTCTATCAAGACAGCACTGTTGCTCGCTTTGACTACAGCTAAGCGGGTCAGTGATTTGTGTGCTTTTTCGACGAGACCTGACTGCCTGGCCATCAATGGTGACCTGAGCAGAGCAGTGTTACGTCCTAACCCGGCATTTGTGCCGAAGGTTATTAAGAGTTCATATAGGTCACAGACCGTGGAGCTGTGGGCTTTTTCTCCTCCTCCTCATAGAGAGAGGAGTGAGGAAAAGCTCCATCGCCTGTGCCCGGTACGCGCTTTGGCGTGTTACGTCGAGCGCACAGCAGCGATTAGGTCATCGCCTCAGTTGTTTGTGTGTCACGGTGCGGCTGCACTAGGTAGACCACTTTCAAAACAGAGGCTGTCTCACTGGCTTTGCGAAGGCATTGAGACAGCTTATGAGGTAGCAGGGCGGCAATTGCCTCAGGGTATCAGAGCTCACTCCACTCGTGGAGTAGCGGCTTCTACTGCCCTTTTTAGAGGAACGGGAGTAGAGGATATCTGTAGAGCAGCATCCTGGTCGACGCCGTCTCCATTTATCCGTTTCTATCTCTTAGATATGTCTTCCAATTCTCTGGCTCGATCTGTACTCAGCGTGGCTGAAGGGAGATCTTGAGCAAGAAGGAGCGGAGAAGCAGGACTGTGGACACAGGTTTCCATCAGGTCCGCTTTTGGTTAGGAAGACGTGTCTTTAACAGATGTGTTTTCTAACTCTTTGGCTCGGTCTGTACTCAGCATAGCTGAAGGGAGATCTGGAGCTAGGAAGAGAGGGAAAAGCAGGACTATGGACTGGGTTTCCATCAGGTCCGCTTTGGATGAGAAAACATATTTTGTGGCATGAATCCTGACTGACAAGCTCAGTACAGTAGAGGCATGCGTGGATTAACAGAATATGAGGTCATCTATCTGCTCGTTCAGTTAGTATGACTCATGTTTTGTTCCTGCCCACTAATCTCTGGGATTCCATTGAGTGAGTGAGGCGGTCTACCGCGTTCATAATGTAGAGTGACATTTGATGTCATTCCATTAGTGGTCGGTAGTGTTTTCACAGGATATTGAGGCACATCTATCTGCTAGTACAGATTAGTATGGCTTCTATTCTGGTGATCTGCCCACTAGTCATTGGCACTGCCATTGGACTAGGTGGGGCGGGTCTTTTAACCGATGACGCGGTATATTGTGACGCCCGTAGGGGTTTTTAGTTGCAGTACTGCGTGACTCGGTTACAGCCATTGCTGGGCCTGACTTTCTCGTTTTGATGGGAAGTGTTAGGCTCGGCAGGGAGTACATTTTGGAGCGCTACGCTCCGCCTTAAACCATTAGGAGCAGAGCTCCCCTATGGGGCGGAGCTCCACGATATAGAACGATTAGTTACCAGAGTGTAACTCCAGTTCTATGAGTGGAGCGGAGCCCCATAGGACTTAAGGCCCTGCCGACCCTCTCTAGTCTCGCTGAAGAAACATATCTCGGGAGGCTGATTGAGGGGAAGCGTCCCCTCTTATAGGGACACCTGTACTCCTATTGGCTGTAGGTGTGTGCATAATTTTGTCTCAGGCTGCTGCTGCCTTAGGGCAGAGGGTAAACCATTAGGAGCAGAGCTCCCCTATGGGGCTCCGCTCCACTCATAGAACTGGAGTTACACTCCGGTAACTAATCGTTAGCCCTCGGGGGACGTTTAGTAAGGTACTTAAACAAAATATTCAACACCCATAAAGAAACAGTAAGAAAACAAAACATCAAACAAACCAGAGAAAGGAATATTTGGGAACGGGGTCCAGGTAATGAAAATAAACCAAAGGTCCCTTCTCTTCTACACACCTAATCCTTCCTATCACTCTAAACCCTAATCCACTTTCCTACCTGTTTACCAAAAATACAGGGGTGACACCCGCCCGGCTAACCTAGTGTGTAAAACAATGGGTTATCTACGTGTGAATGTACACCCATGGGCAGATCTACCTTTCCCATCTCCAGGACCTAGGTAGGGTGGAGTACATCAGGAGGACCGGCTGGAACACAAACAAAGATAAATTAAAATAACCAAATCCTCAAACAGCCAAACAAAAAGTTCTCCCTCTCGAGCTCACACGGCAAACAGGTATACTCTCGTCAATCAGCTACAGCTGCCAGGACTCTGTAAGTAGCTAAATGTGTTGGATCCTATTTGTGTATCATCTTGTTATCAAAAGGACAATTTGGTATTTACAGTAGTATGGCCTCAACGACTATAGGGTTTATGTAGCCACTCATTGGTTGTTTAGGTATAGACAACAGTCAATTGTTGAAGCCCTAAGTGTGTTACCCCAGGAGGACCGCCTGCTCCAGTGTCTGGTGGATAACTCTTCTGACTGCGCGGAGACTGTTCAGTGTTCCAACTGTGATCTGGAGTGCAACATTTCTTTTCACAAACACAGGCTTAGTTCATACCTGTAGTTTCTGTCTGCAGTACAAGCTTTTTATCTTTTTGTGGTCTTGCGTGTGTTGACAGAATGTGGATGCAATGTATTATTGCAACACTTGTAGCCAGCTGCTGTGTGGAGCTTGCAGGGAAACAACTCACAAGGCCAAGATGCTCTCCAGCCACGATATCGTCTCCCTTGCTAAGCGCACGATGGAGGCCCACAAAATGTGTGGTGTGTTAAAACTCAGATCTTCTTCAATCTTAAAGTGTTACTTACCCCTTTAAAAACAGCTAGATATATTTTATGGATAAACTAGCAGGTGCACAGAAAATGTTGGTGAAAATGTTGGTGAAATCCAAGCTCAAATTCTCTGTTCTCTGAGATTCCATTGTAATGTCTGTATGTCTGTCTGTCTGATCATGACTGTCTGTCTGCCCACAGCCCTCCACGATGAGCTAGCTGCACATCATGTTCTCCACAGAGAAGTCCATGCTGTCGATCAACTGTTTCAGAGATATTACAGTCAGCTCCTATCCCTAATATTTTATCATTTAAATAATTAAATAATCAACCATTAAGCAATTAAAACTGTGTGTGTGTCATTCAGCATGAGCAGAGCCCACTGCATTGACATTGAGACAGCGTATATGCAAAGCTGTGAAAGGCTGGACCAAGCCGTCATAGTGAGTGCATTCTCCTAATTATAACTCTATTACCTACTTGTTCGATATTGCTGTAGGACAGGCATCATCAACTAGATTCAGCTGTGGGACGATTTTTCCTTGAGCGGATGAGCCAGAACATAATAAAAAATAATTTGTAGACTGCAAATTGACCGCAAGAAGCCTAAACAAATATAATATTTGACTAAAACATAATCATTTCAAACCTTTTCCAGCATGATGGAGCACCTTGCCATGAGGCAAAAGTGATAACTATGTGGCTTGGGGAATAAAACATCGAAATTTTGGGTCCATGGCCAGGAAACTCCCCAGACCTTAATCTCATTTAGAACTTGTGGTCGATCCTCAAGAGGCGGGTGGACAAACAAAAACCCACAAATTCTGACAAACTCCAAGCATTGATTATGCAAGAATGGGCTGCCATCAGTCAGGATGTGGCCCAGAAGCTAATTGACAGCATGCCAGGGCGGATTGCAGAGGTCTTGAAAAAGAAGGGTCAACACTGCAAATATTGACTCTTTGCATAAACTTAATGTAATTGTCAATAAAAGCCTTTGACACTTATGGAAAGCTTGTAATTATACTTCAGTATAACATAGTAACATCTGACAAAAATATCTCATAACACTGAAGCAGCGAACTTTGTGAAGACCAATACTTGTGTCATTCTCAACTTTTGACCACGACTGTACACTATACAGTGTATTCGGAAAGTATTCAGACCCCTCGACTTTTCCACATTTTGTTACGTTACAGCCTTATTCTAAAATTGATTAAATTGTTTTCCCCCTCATCAATCTACACACAATACCCCATAATGACAAAGCAAAAACAGGTTTTTAGACATTTTTGCAAATGTAAAAAGAAAAAGAAAAACGGAAATATCGCATTTACATAAGTATTCAGACCCTTTACTCAGTATTTTGTTGAAGCACCTTTGGCAGCGATTACAGCTTCGAGTCTTCTTGGGTATGACGCTACAAGCTTGGCACACCTGTATTTGGGGAGTTTCTCCCATTCTTCTCTGCAGATCCTCTCAAGCTCTGTCAGGTTGGATGGGGAGCGTCGCTGCACAGCTATTTTCAGGTCTCTCCAGAGCTGTTCAATCAGGTTGAAATCCGGGCTCTGGCTGGGCCACTCAAGGACATTCAGAGACTTGTCCCGAAGCCACTACTGCGTTGTCTTGGCTGTGTGCTTAGGGTCGTTGTCTTGGTGGAAGGTGAACCTTCGCCCCAGTCTGAGATCCTGAGCGCTCTGGAGCAGGATTTCATCAAGGATCTCTCTGTACTTTGCTCCGTTAATCTTTTCCTCGATCCTGACTAGTCTCCCAGTCCCTGCCGCTGAAGAACATCCCCACAGCATGATGCTGTCACCACCGTGCTTCACCGTAGGGATGGTGCCAGGTTTCCTCCAGACGTGACACTTGGCATTCAATCTTGGTTTCATCAGACCAGAGCATCTCGTCTGAGTCCTCAAGGTGCCTTTTGGCAAACTCCAAGCGGGCTGTCATGTGCCTTTTACTGAGGAATGGCTTCCGTCTGGCCACTCTACCATAAAGGCCTGATTGGAGGAGTGCTGCAGAGATGGTTGTCCTTCTGGGAGGTTCTCCCATCTCCACAGAGGAACTCTGGAGCTCTGTCAGAGTGACCATCGGGTTCTTGGTCACCTCAGTGACCAAGGCCCTTCTCCCCTGATTGCTCGTGTGGCCGGGTGGCCAGCTCTTGGAAGAGTCTTGGTGGTACCAAACTTATTCCACTTAAGAATGATGGAGGACACAGTTTTCTTGGGGACCAATGCTGCAGACATTTTTTGGTACCCTTCCCCAGATCTGTGCCTCGACACAATCTTGTCTCGGAGCTCTACGGACAATTCCTTCAACCTCATGGCTTGGTTTTTGCTCTGACTTGCACTGTCAACTGTGGGACCTTATATAGACAGGTGTGTGCCTTTCCAAATCATGTCCAATCAATTTAATTTACCACAGGTGGACTCCAGGGTGGGGTGTTGTCCAGTGCCCTCTCATGGTGTGACCCCTGACTCCTAGGCGGTGAAGGAGCTCCAGACATCGGCCAGAATCCTGCTGAAGGCCATGATCGAGGCAGTCTGAGAGAATGTGGATGAGGAGGAGAGCGCAATCAGCACTATTTTCAACAACGTGCAGGTGAACTGACACAGTCATCGTCCATTTTGAAAAACTGCTCCCCGGGAGCTGATGACGTGGACATTACAGACGCTCTTATCCAGAGCAACTTACAGTTAGTGTGTGCATACATTTTCATACTGGCCCCCCATGGGAATCGAACCCACAACCCTGGCGTCGCAAACGCCATGCTCTACCAACTGAGCTACAGAGGGCCACATTAGGTTAAGAGGGCCACATGGATTAAGGCAGCCCCCCGCACCTCTCTGATTCAGAGGGGTTGGGTTAAATGCGGAAAACTGTTGTGCAATTTCCTTCTATTTTCTCAATCAATCAATGTTGTCGTTGTTTTGTTTATGCAGTTCCAAAAATGTGTTTAAATTTTACCACAAGGTGTCACTCTTCAAGTCCTATCTCCAAAAGTAGCCTAAGGTTCAATACCTTGCACAACATTATATTAGAGCAACATTTGATTGAATTATACTGGATACAGTTGTAATGCTCAAGTAGTGCTTTTCATTTACAAACTTAACTGAGAGGAAATTTACGTAAATTAGTTTTGGTTGGGAAAGTATTCATAAGAGTACAGTTAATTTCATCTTGAGAGATTTGCAATGCAATTAAATGACCCAGATAATATCGTCCTCTTTTGAAGGAAAAACTGGCAGAAAGAAAAAAGATTATCCTGAAAGCAGTGCAAAGGTGAACATTTATTTTGCTTCATGCTACCTTGCTTGAAAATCATGTTTATCATGTAGCCCTAATGTGTAGCCTATGCTCAGAGAAACTGTGAAATATTTGACATTTACCTGTCATTGTTTGAATGGGCCATCCAAATAGAGATTCATCCTCAATGGTTGCCTCTAGCCATTAAAAATCACTATAAACTCAATTAACTCTCAAAGCAGGAAGTCTTGCCACAGACAGACGGGTGCGTCTCAAATGCCAACATATTCCCTTTATAGTGCACTACTTTTGACCAGAAGTAGCGCACTATATAGGAAATAGTGTGACATTTGGGTGCACAAGACTTCCTGTTTTGAGAGTTCATTAGAGTGTTCAAAACCCAGAGATATTGAACAGCCTAATGGCTCGTCTAATGCCTGCCTAATATGTATCCTATTCCACATTTATATATAGATCCTACTGGGAGATTAAGGTATCCATGGCAGCAGACCAATATAGATAAAATCCAAATGAATAATAATGTGTCAGGACCAGCTACATCAGGCTTGCCTGGCAACACTTTCAACCCAGTAGTAAATGAGAACAGCTGTCTCATCTGGCTGCACTCTTACCCACTCTCCAGGTAATGTCCTGTCTATGGTATGCCTGTTTATCCTGGAGTTGTGATACATGTTGCCTATTTTTAGAATGTCTTATTCACAGTGCCCGACTGTATTTGTAATCCTAATGGATGTTCCATCTTGAGCAGGTGTAATATAATCAACTCAAGCCAATGTTCTCCTCCACCTTGCCCTTCCCTTCTCTACGATCATCTGGTCACTTGTTCAGCCTTCCTAAATTCAGCTAACAAGTTTGAGTTTCTTGATATGTAAGTAGAGTGTAGTATGATGCATTAAGCCCAATATGTTTCTATGAATCCAGAAGGGCACAAACCAAACTGTGAGTCATATTTCACCCCTACCATAAAGAAATTGTGCAGACCTACACGCTCAAAGGGAAAATGTAATCAGCTTGTTACTGATGTTCCCAATGAGTGAAACTTCAACATTCAAGACAGTATGCTTATACTTTCCAAATATGCTCTTGTCGTGTTCTGAAATAGTCAGCAGAAAATGAGGACACCCCTACTTGATGTGCAAAATGTTATGTCAATATATTTATTTGTTCATTGTTTTGTGTAACTGTCCCTCTGTCTCCTCAGCCTGTAGTCATCCCTGTCCGTGCCCTGCCACTCCCCTGCCATCAGTGACATGTCCCTGGGTTCATCCGTGGTGCGGAAGCCCACCGCAATATCATCACCAAGGTCCTCCTGGTAGAGAGTGGGGAGACTCCCGTTTACCGAGCACTGTCGCAACTATGAGAACAGCTGCAGGGTGAGTGAGCTTCGACAACACTTTACTGTACAACTCTGATACGCATTGTTACGACATTACTGAGGGCTTTCACAGCCAATCACAGTGTTTTTGTATGTGTATTTGAAATACGTGTCATGAAAAGACCTTCCTGTGTTTTCCTTACTGTGTCCAGACGCTGCAGACATCCATTCAGCAGCTGAAGGACTAGGTGCAGGAGACCCACAGGGATCTGACCAAGCACCCCTCCCTCATCAAGACAGACACCATGGGAGACATCCTGGATACCTCCGTGCAGATGGACAGACATATCTCCTGCAGTGGAACTCATGAGGGCCATGTTTGAGGAGGTGGGAATCACCAAAGCAATGAGGATTCTGGAAAAGTATTCAGACAACACTGTTTATAAATGTAACCCAGCTCTCCTTTTAAGGCTCATCTCCATCCTGTTATCCTTCCCCTATGTCTGGGAGGAGACCTTTCAAAGGGTTGCAAATTAACAGGAAATCTATGAAGGTAAAGGGGATTTTGTTTTTCTGTTAGATGTGAGATAGATATGGTCAAGTTGGTGTTTTATATACTGCATGTGTCCATTCAGTTTTCTGCCCAGCTTCACGATCTGATGCAGTCAAGGCAAGAGAACAGCTACCTGACCACCATCGCCAGGCAAATTGGCCCCTGCATCCGATCCATCGCCAAGGTGAAGGAACGCCTTGAACCCAGGTACTGGAGCACAGCCACTATAACTACATATCACAAACTACAACAATGTTTTGACTAACAAGTTACTCTGGCAAATGTACAATTTACTCTGACGAGGGTCCCCGACTGAAATGTTTGTTTCTATCATGGTGACTGTGCAAGACATGGTGTTCCATGAAGTATTCTCTATTCAATGTTCCCACAGACTGAACGAGCCTAAGGAGCTGAAAGATGACCGTACAGAGGACATGCTGAAGATCTATGAGGACACCACTATGGCCACAGATACTAAACAAACCATTTTAACAACACTGACGTAAGCTAGCTAGGAGATTACTGAATAACTTGTAGGAAGAATTGATCATTGATTTGAGTGAGAACTAACTTCTTTGATAAATCGATCAATTAAATAATTATACTTTTAGCAAAAATGTTTATTTTCAATTCACAATCTGTAGAAACAATGAGAATAGAAAGGTTCAGAACTTTTGTAAAACATCACAGTACAGTTGAAATATATATGGCAAATATAAATCCTATATGGATGGTGTTAAGAGATAGATGGGAGGTGTTGAATGGAATTGAAGGATGGGACTAATAACAACTAACAACAAATAATAACAAGATAACTAATAATGTAAGCATACTGTGTCCATAATAAGTATATATTGTAGGTTGGGAGCTTTTGTGAAAGAGCACAGTTAAAAAGATATGGCATATAGAAGCAAACCGGATGGACATCATGAAAATGATCGGAGAGGTTGAGAGTAGAAGAAGTTCAGGAGAAAAAACAAACAAAATATAATTATTGTAAAATTGACTGTGTCCATAAAATGTAGATGGTAAATATAAGCTAGAAGTAGAGGCCTAAGCATTGTTGTTCACTAATTTACTCCAAGTAGGGAAAGGGTGGAATAACAACAAAAAAAGAACAACAAAAAAATCCAGAAAACGCACGTAAAAAATGTTATAAATTGATTTGCATTTTAATGAGGGAAATAAGTATTTGACCCCCTCTCAATCAGACATTTTTCTGCCTCCCAGGTGTCTTTTATACAGGTAACGAGCTGAGATTAGGAGCACACTCTTAAAGGGAGTGCTCCTAATTTCAGTTTGTTACCTGTATAAAAAGACACCTGTCCACAGAAGCAATCAATCAATCAGATTCCAAACTCTCCACAATGACCAAGACCAAAGAGCTCTCCAAGGATGTCAGGGACAAGATTATAGACCTACACAAGGCTGGAATGGGCTACAAGACCATCGCCAAGCAGCTTGGTGAGAAGGTGACAACAGTTGGTGCGATTATTCGCAAATCGAAGAAACACAAAATAACTGTCAATCTCCCTCAGCCTGGGGCTCCATGCAAGATCTCACCTCGTGGAGTTGCAGTGATCATGAGAACGGTGAGGAATCAGCCCAGAACTACACAGGATTTTGTCAATGATCTCAAGGCAGCTGGGACCATAGTCACCAAGAAAACAATTGGTAACACACTACGCCGTGAAGGACTAAAATCCTGCAGCGCCCGCAAGGTCCCCCTGCTCAAGAAAGCACATATACATGCCCGTCTGAAGTTTGTCAATGAACATCTGAATGATTCAGAGGAGAACTGGGTGAAATTGTTGTGGTCAGATGAGACCAAAATGGAGCTCTTTGGCATCAACTCAACTCGCCGTGTTTGGAGGAGGAGGAATGCTGCCTATGACCCCAAGAAAACCATCCCCACCGTCAAACATGGAGATGGAAACATTATGCTTTGGGGGTGTTTTTCTGCTAAGGGGACAGGACAACTTCACCGCATCAAAGGGACGATGGACGGGGCCATGTACCCTCAAATCTTGGGTGAGAACCTCCTTCCCTCAGCCAGGGCATTGAAAATGGGTCGTGGATGGGTATTCCAGCATGACAATGACCCAAAACACACGGCCAAGGCAACAAAGGAGTGGCTCAAGAAGAAGCACATTAAGGTCCTGGAGTGGCCTAGCCAGTCTCCAGACCTTAATCTAATAGAACATCTGTGGAGGGAGCTGAAGGTTCGAGTTGCCAAACATCAGCCTCGAAACCTTAATGACTTGGAGAAGATCTGCAAAGAGGAGTGGGACAAAATCCCTCCTGAGATGTGTGCAAACCTGGTGGCCAACTACAAGAAACGTCTGACCTCTGTGATTGCCAACAAGGGTTTTGCCACCAAGTACTAAGTCATGTTTTGCAGAGGGGTCAAATACTTATTTTCCTAATTAAAATGCAAATCAATTTATAAAATTTTTGACATGTTTTTCCCGGATATTTTTGTTGTTATTCTGTCTCTCACTGTTCAAATAAACCTACCATTAAAATTATAGACTGATCATTTCTTTGTCAGTGGGCAAACGTACAAAATCAGCAGGGGATCAAATACTTTTTTCCCTCACTGTATGTATGTGTGTATGTATGTGTGTATAAGAATGTGTATGTTTACAGTGGGGAGAACAAGTATTTGATACACTGCCGATTTTGCAGGTTTTCCTACTTACAAAGCATGTAGAGGTCTGTAATTTTTATCATAGGTACACTTAAACTGTGAGAGACGGAATCTAAAACAAAAATCCAGAAAATCACATTGTATGATTTTTAAGTAATTAATTTGCATTTTATTGCATGACATAAGTATTTGATCACCTACCAACCAGTAAGAATTCCGGCTCTCACAGACCTGTTAGTTTTTCTTTAAGAAGCCCTCCTGTTCTCCACTCATTACCTGTATTAACTGCACCTGTTTGAACTCGTTACCTGTATAAAAGACATCTGTCCACACACTCAATCAAACAGACTCCAACCTCTCCACAATGGCCAAGACCAGAGAGCTGTGTAAGGACATCAGGAATAAAATTGTAGACCTGCACAAGGCTGGGATGGGCTACAGGACAATAGGCAAGCAGTTTGGCGAGAAGGCAACAACTGTTGGCGCAATTATTAGAAAATGGAAGAAGTTCAAGATGACGGTCAATCACCCTCGGTCTGGGGCTCCATGCAAGATTTCAAGTCGTGGGGCATCAATGATCATGAGGAAGGTGAGGGATCAGCCCAGAACTACACGGCAGGACCTGGTCAATGACCTGAAGAGAGCTGGGACCACAGTCTCAAAGAAAACCATTAGTAACACACTACGCCGTCATGGATTAAAATCCTGCAGCGCACGCAAGGTCCCCCTGCTCAAGCCAGCGCATGTCCAGGCCCGTCTGAAGTTTGCCAATGACCATCTGGATGATCCAGAGGAGGAATGGGAGAAGGTAATGTGGTCTGATGAGACAAAAATAGAGCTTTTTGGTCTAAACTCCACTCGCCGTGTTTGGAGGAAGAAGAAGGATGAGTACAACCCCAAGAACACCATCCTAACCGTGAAGCATGGAGGTGGAAACATCATTCTTTGGGGATGCTTTTCTGCAAAGGGGACAGGACGACTGCACCGTATTGAGGTGAGGATGGATGGGGCCATGTATCGAGAGATCTTGGCCAACAACCTCCTTCCCTCAGTAAGAGCATTGAAGATGGGTCGTGGCTGCGTCTTCCAGCATGACAACGACCCAAAACACACAGCCAGGGCAACTAAGGAGTGGCTCCGTAAGAAGCATCTCAAGGTCCTGGAGTGGCCTAGCCAGTCTCCAGACCTGAACCAAATAGAAAATCTTTGGAGGGAGCTGAAAGTCCGTATTGCCCACACGGGGGGACCTAGTGAATGACCTGCAGAGAGCTGGGACCAAAGTAACAAAGCCTACCATCAGTAACACACTACGCCGCCAGGGACTCAAATCCTGCAGTGCCAGACATGTCCCCCTGCTTAAGCCAGTACATGTCCAGGCCCGTCTGAAGTTTGCTAGAGTGCATTTGGATGATCCAGAAGAGGATTGGGAGAATGTCATATGGTCAGATGAAACCAAAATAGAACTTTTTGGTAAAAACTCAACTCGTCGTGTTTGGAGGACAAAGAATGCTGAGTTGCATCCAAAGAACACCATACCTACTGTGAAGCATGGGGGTGGAAACATCATGCTTTGGGGCTGTTTTTCTGCAAAGGGACCAGGATGACTGATCCGTGTAAAGGAAAGAATGAATTGGGCCATGTATCGTGAGATTTTGAGTGAAAACCTCCTTCCATCAGCAAGGGCATTGAAGATGAAACGTGGCTGGGTCTTTCAGCATGACAATGATCCCAAACACACCGCCCGGGCAACGAAGGAGTGGCTTCGTAAGAAGCATTTCAAGGTCCTGGAGTGGCCTAGCCAGTCTCCAGATCTCAAGTTGAAAGTCTGTGTTGCCCAGCGACAGCCCCAAAACATCACTGCTCTAAAGGAGATCTGCATGGAGGAATGGACCAAAATACCAGCAACAGTGTGAAGACTTACAGAAAACGTTTGACCTGTGTCATTGCCAACAAAGGGTATATAACAAAGTATTGAGAAACTTTTGTTATTGACCAAATACTTATTTTCCACCATAATTTGCAAATAAATTCATTAAAAATCCTACAATGTGATTTTCTGGATTTTTTTCTTCTCATTTTGTCTGTCATAGTTGACGTGTACCTATGATGAAAATTACAGGCCTCTCTCATCTTTTTAAGTGGGAGAACTTGCACAATTGGTGGCTGACTAAATACTTTTTTCCCCCACTGTATGATAAAAATTACAGACCTCTACATGCTTTGTAAGTAGGAAAACCTGCAAAATCGGCAGTGTATCAAATACTTGTTCTCCCCACTGTATGTGTATATATATATATATATATATATATATATATATATATATATATATAAAAACATGGGGGATTGGAAGTGATGCAGACAATTACAATCTATCTGCAATATTAAGCTGATCGACAAAAAGAAAAAGAGAAAGAAAAAAACATATTTGTTAAACCTCAACCTTTATGCTTTACCTCAACAGAAATGACCTGACCTGTACCACAGATGATAACCACACTCTCAGCAACCTCTCTGACGAGGCTGCCCTCAAGAACAAGAATCTACTGGGCCAGGGAAGCAGAAGAACACAGAGATAGCCATTTGGAAGATGTCTCCCTAAGCAACTGGATGGGGTCACGAGACTTCTTCAGTGTTCACCCATGATTTATGTAAATGTATTGAATATAACATTTAAATGTTTCTAACATTATCCATATTAGGACTACAGTGGCAACATGAAAGAAAACCTAATGAGAGGAAGAAAATTTTCTTAGGATAAACTTTTTATTTTATTTCACAGGACAATGGTGTTCAATCAATTCAGAAAATTTCAGTCAAGTGAATAAAAGTAAATCAACCAAGAGATAGATAAGTATTCCCTCTGCATGATACATTTACATTACCTGTAGTAAACTGCAGTATTTGTTATACTGTAGTGCAACAACTGGCTTTTTCCATGTTCAGCTCAGCTGGATCATGCTTGGAGCAGTAAACAGTTGTACGTCTGCAGCCAACAATGTGCTCTTATATTAATCTACAGATAATCTTCTCATCTTTATTAATCTAATACACATTACTTTTACAGTGCTCTTGACTGTCCTAATTTCAGGAATTCTCTTTCAATCACACACACATACACACACTCCTCTTGCACTCCATACAGTCTGGGCATACAGAGTGGAGGGCAGAGGCAACATTTCACCTGAGACAAGCGGTAGTTCAGGAGGAAGCCATGCTGGGTTGAGCTTGTCGCAAAGGAGACGACCTTTCCTCTGAACCCCTTAGCCATAGGAATGCAACTTTTGGTTGGTTTCAATACAAATAAATAACAGATGGACTGATGATCAAGTGGGGGTTGAGAGAGAGACAGTCTTTCTTGAGTGCATTTTAAAGATGACTTGTAACCATTTGAGGGTGCCTCTATAGTTAAAACCTTATGGAAGGAACAACACCCCTGATTCATAGTCTATATAACCAGGAACAATGTTAAGACTTACAACAGACTGGAATAGAACAGTGAATGGATTGTCAGTGTTCATTATGTTTTCATTATTCACAAAGTAGACATTTCTGACTTGATACGCCGTACCGATTGGAAGAATCCGAGTACCAGGCTGCAACTTGCTCAGATTGTAAAATGAGAAAAGAATATATATTTGTGATTGTACAGCCTTTTGATCCTGAGTGGGCATGGGATGTGAATTTAAAATAAATCATTATTTTGTGTAAGGATGCATCAATATAGAAATTCTGGGCTGATACCTAAAACCAATATTTTTTTTATGGCATACATTCTTTTAATAACTTTGACATTCATCAAAAGGCCTTTTTCTTAGAATTTATGAAAGTGCTAATTAACTTATTGGGCAAAGACCATGTTGCAAGCGACCACTTTTCCGTAACTTTCGCGCATTTTTGTAAATGTACAACAAAGTCACTCAGAAATAAATGCTTCTTACCGGGACAAAATACACAATATATATACAAAAGTATGTGGACACCTCGTCAAATTAGTAAATTCGGGTATTTCAGCCACACCCGTTGCTGACAGGTGTATAAAATCGAGCACACAGCCATGCCATGCAATCTCCATAGCCAAACATTGGCAGTAGAATGGCCTTACTGAAGAGCTCAGTGACTTTCAATGTGGAACCGTCATAGGATGCCACCTTTACAACAAGTCAGTTCTGCCCTGCTAGAGCTGCCCCTGTCAAGTGCTGTTATTGTGAAGTGGAAATGTCTAGGAACAACAACGGCTCAACCGCGAAGTGGTAGGCCACACAAGTTCACAGAACGGGACCGCTGAATCGTGTAGCGCGTAGAAATCACCTGTCTTCGGTTGCAACACACTACCGAGTTCCGAACTGACTTGGAAGCAACGTCAGCACAATAACTGTTCGTCGGGAGCTTCATGAAATGGGTTTCAATGGCCGAGCAGCCGCACACAAGCCTAAGACCACCACGCGCAATGCCAACCGTTGGCTGGAGTGGTGTAAAGCTCGCCACCATTGGACTCTGGAGCAGTGGAAACGCGTTCTCTGGAGTGATGAATCACGCTTCACCATCTCACAGTCCGACGTCCGAATCTGGGTTTGGCGGATGCCAGGAGAACGCTACCTGCCCGAATGCATAGTGCCAACTGTAAAGTTTGGTGGAGGAGGAATAATGGTCTGGGGCTGTTTTTCATGGTTCGGGCTAGGCCCCTTAGTTCCAGTGAAGAAATCTTAACGCTACAGCATACAGTACAATTACATTCTAGACAATTCTGTGCTTCCAACTTTGTGGCAACAGTTTGGGGCAGGCCCTTTCCTGTTTCAGAATGACAATGCCCCCATGCACAAAGCGAGGTCCATACAGAAATGGTTTGTCAAGATCGGTGGAAAAACTTGACTGGCCTGCACAGAGCCCCAACCTCAACCCCATCGAACACGTTTGGGATGAATTGGAACACCAACTACGAGCCAGGCTTAATCGCCCAACATCATTGCCCGACCTCACATAATGCTTTTGGGGCTGAATGGAAGCAAGTCCCCGCAGAAATGTTCCAACATCTAGTGGAAAGCCTTCCCAGAAGATTGGAGGCTGTTATAGCAGCAAAGGGGGGACCAACTCCATATTAATTCTTGTGATTTTGGAATGAGATGTTCGACAAGCAGGTGTCCACATACTTTTGACAATGTAGTGTATGTACTAGGGCCGATACATTTTGCAACCAGGGCTCTACAATTTGTAAAAAATGTATGGGTAGCACTGGTGCTCCAAACTTTAAAAACGTTAAGAGCACAACCTGACATTTTTTTTATGTTCTTGTCCCAGAATGCACCGTGCGGCCCATTGACGACGCATGGGCAACGTACACAATGGGCGTAAATACGATTCCAATGGAGTTTCCCATCTCAAAAGTATCTCTAATATGGATCAGATCTTTTGAACTGTTTGTGTTAGAAACAAGCAATTTTCGCTGTAGTAAAGGTGCAAGCTAACGAATCTGCGCCCAGGAAACAACGGTACAGCGAAGCCTTATCATTACAACAATTGTTATAAAAATATTGATATATTTTGTTTTTTTCCACTGGTGCTCACAAATTAAAACTGCAGGTCGCACAGCAAAATATTTTGTTGCATATCCAACCAAATTGGGTCACACTTTAGAGCCCTGTCTGCATCCCTAATATTGTGTAAAACCATTCTGATGTCAACGCTGAGGCCTAATAATGATGACTCTGTGATATGCCAGACAAACAAGGAATAGCAGAAACTCAACCAGGCTCATTACAGCACTTCTGATTCAGTAACCCAAGCTAAAATCAATTCAGCATCCACTTAAGGCCAGGTACCACAGGCTAAAATGAAATTGTTGTAAGAACTTATCAATTTTGGTCCATTAATAATTATTATTTTTAAAAAGTGAAAAATAAAAATGTCAAAAGCTTTATGAAAATATTCTTGTTAGTTTATCATACTAATGTCATCAAAATATCATAAATTGTAAACACTTTTAAATGGACATACATCCATAATTTGAAAGCTACATTGAATCACACATCACTTAAAAGTACATTTCATAGAGAATGTTACTTTGAAGATATGGTGATTGGTTGTAAATAGTGTTTGGTAGTCCTAATTCAGTGTCCTTGTCTAACTGCCATTTCCTGAAAATCAGACTCTTCCCAAACGCCAATTTATTTTTCTCAGCCTCAAAAGCATCTGCATTTACCAAATTTGGTGTGGTTATCCAGAGATGTATTCTCCAGACTTATACATAGGGAATTGTTGATATGTTGTAAAAAAAAGTATCTTCTAGATGACACAATCGGCTATTTGTAAGTTCAGTCCTGGAAAATGTATTTGTGTTATATGCAAATATTTAATGGTATAACCTAATTTGCATACAATGTTTCAGGAAAATATATAAATGATATACAAAAATGTATTATATTCATGTCCACATTCAACTGGTAAAAGTTGATTGTGATATGATTGGGGGGGGGGGGGGGGGGGGGAAATAACCTATTAGGGTGTGGTGCCTGGCCTTAAAAAACTAAACTCTTCCCTAAGGAAAACACGGAAATGGGAGCCTTTAGCAGAACATTGGAGATTAAAGAAAAATACAAACTCAAGTCTCTAGTAGTCATTTTAACCAAACAAAAGACAGAAAACAGAGAGGTGGTTGAATGTATGGGGGGTGTAGTTTCCTTTTGAGTGAGTCTACTCAGGCCTTGGGGGTGGTATGGGGATGGGAGCTCTTTACCACACTTATAGGTGTCAGTCTCCGTGAGCTTTAGGCCCCCCAGGGCGGGCGACCACAGGGGCTAATCCACAGTACGCTGACCACGGCTGCACCTCACAGTGCCTGTCTGTCTGTCTGCCTGCCATGTTCATACGTCCAGGACCCATCTCTCACACCTAGGAGCTGTTGATGCGGATGCCTGAAATAAAGGGCAGGCCGGTGCCCACCTTCTTTTTGTACTCCAGGTAGTCCTCTGCGAAGAAATGGATGAGAGAAAGCTCCTCCTCCTCGATCCGTTCACGGAAGAAGCGCCAGCTTGCCATAGTGTAGCCCGCGATGCAGACAGGGTTGCACAGCATCACCTGGAACATTGGACACAGAAAAGTGAAATCAGTGTTAATGGGCTTGACTGGAACATGTTTAAGAAACAAACATGTCTGGATTCTTAAAAGGGAACAGAGTTTAGCTTATATATTAGCCTGCATGCTAATATTGCTGTGACAAGGGTTGCAATATTCTGGTAACTTTCCCAAGATTGCAAGGATTTCCAGAAATTACAGTTGGAAGATTCCGGATTTCCTGTTTCTTCCCTCCTGATTCAAGGAATAATTCAACTGGGATTTCTGAAAAATCTGGGAATTCTGGGAACATTTCCAGAATTTTGCAACCCATGCTGTGCCATTCAAGAGTTTCCTTAGCTATTGACAGAATAGGCCGGTACCTGTGTGCCAATGCTCCAGTAGAACCATCCCACGTAGGAGGGGTGCCTGAAGAAGGCGTAGACCCCATCCGTGACCAGCACGTGGCTCTGGGCCTTCTCGTTCTGGACGATGTGGTTGAAGTTGGAGCCGGCCGTCAGCATGGCAGACTTACGCAGGAAGTCCCCACACAGCACCATCACCAGACCCACCAGGCTGAGCCAGCTCAGCTGCTTCAGCTCTGAGACACAACATTCACAGCCTATTGAGACATTTAACTCCTATTGTGACAACGTTTTTTTTTTTTTTTTTTTGGTCATTTAGCAGACACTCTTATCCAGAGCAATTTACAGGAGCAATTAGGGTTAAGTGCCTTGCTCAGGGGCACATCAACAGATTTTTCACCTAGTCAGCTCGGGGATTAGAACCAGCAACCTTTCGGTTACTGGCACAATGCTCTTAACCACTAAGCTACCTGTCATGCCCATTTCAACTGAGACATTGAAAAGTTATTGGCTGCGTTCCAGCCTGACTACATCGTAGAAGCCTGCCCGACTGCAGTTGATGACGTGGCACACAATCATTGGTTGATGCAATGCAACGCCAGCAATGTAGTCAGGCTGGAACTTTCCCATTGAGCCCAAGTGTGTTATGAAGGACAGACCTGGGACAGTGAGCTTCTCTATGGTGAACTCCACCCATGAGGACACAGCAGCCACGGTGTACTCCACACTGTGGTTGAGAAGGAATGAGTCCAGAGACAGGCTGCGGGGGTTAATGATGGCCGTCACCAGGTACTCGGAGTAGTGGAAGAAAGACAAGGAGCACATGTACCTGCAAAGACATGCATTGACTGAGAACTATGCATAACAGGTATCAAACTAACGGTTAGTATTGTGTGTGTGTGTGTGTGTGTGTACGTGAGAGAGAGAGGCAGTGTTCGAGAGGATCAAAACCGTAATGTATCATGGGTAAATTGTGACTGACTGATCTACAAATAATAATGAGTTGTTATTTATGATACAAGGTTCTTTGTAGATCTGTCAGTCAGCAGTCGCCTGTAATATCGAACAAGCCCAGAGTGCATGGGAGAGAGAGAAAGAGGAGAGAGCATGTACAGGGGTGTATTCATTACGGAAACCGTTTACCGTTTAAGAACCAAACGGAAGCAAACAGAGCAAAACTAGAGTTTCTATTGGACAAACGCAGGTAGGTACCTCCCCATTTCGTTCTGTTTAAGAAACATTTTGCAAGAAGTTGTTGGATGCTTACCAGCCAAAGTGTGTCCATGTGGTTTGGGAAAAGCTTATGATCAAGCCACACCCAAAAGTAAAGCCAAGGAAGCAGGCTCGCACAGCAACCTGGGAGAAAGAAGAGTAAGCTTATGTAACATTTCTACCTTCAACTGGATAAGAGCGTCTGCTAAATAATGTAAATGTAACTTGTGAAACTAGCTAGTTATCTAACTTTACAAGTAGAAAGCTGGCTCCAAATCAATAGCTAACACAATAACATAATCTTAGGCATAGCATATCTAACTAACTTCAATAGTGTTATCTAATTTACAGTTTAGGGCTCTATCTTTAGCCAATCAAGGTGACAGCTGTCTCAATCCAATTCAGATAATAGGATTAGCCAGCTAGCTAGCTCAACATATTAGGAAGAAGAGGGGCAATGAAAATGTAATGATAATTTAGATAGCTAATGCCTAGCTAGCTGGCTGCCGTTTTGGCAAATAAAACTGAACTCAAGACGGCTAGCTATCTAAGTAGCTTAGCTAACGTTACAGCTAGCCATCTTCTTTCAGACGTTAGTTAGCTAGCTCTTACCTTATATAGAGGTCCCTTGTATATGATAAGCAAGAAGCCATTGATAATAGCGATGTACACAGCAATAGCTATTTTCCCCCTCACTCCAGTGAGATAGTCGAATACCCAGTCAAGATGTCCTGCGAATGTTCTAATAAGAGGAATTATAACAACACCCAGTCCTAAAAGAAAGCTTATAATACTTATTTTTCCCTCTAACACCAACTTGCCTGCCATGATGAAGTACCGTTCCTCCCAATGAGCTCGCGCGAGTTCTTCTTCAGTGTGGGTTATCGGCGGTTGGCATCCAACGTTATGGTGCATTACCGCCACCTACTGTACTGGAGTGGGGGCCAGAGACTGGGAGAAACTAAATCCTACCTGCCAGCCCTGTTTCTCATAAAAAAGATAACAAAATATTTGAGACTATATCTAATGACGTTCTACTCAATATACTCTTTAAACTAATTTCCTGTATCCCCTTCTCCTTCATACTAGATCTCATCCTCTCTCTTTCCCTCTGATACTGCCCACACTGTAGCAATACATGCTCCACGGTCTCTGTTTCCTGACAATAATCACACTTTCCTGTTGGATGCTTTCCTATCACATTTAATGTCTTATTCAACTGGCTGTGTCCCACCCTTAATCTTGTAAAAAAAAGAGCCTCCTCTCTTCTGTCACTTCCTACCGTCCTCCCCGACTTTCCTCTGTACTTGAAATAAATGCCTTCCCTTATTATCTCTATTACACTGCTCCTGCCATCTCTGCACCATCACTGTATATATCAGTATTTTTGCCTCTGCCTTGCTCATTGAAACTTCAACATCCCCACTACTAGTGCTTGTTTAGCCTGTTCTTCTACTGCCTCGTTCCCCTCCACCCCCACATGGGCTGGGACCCAAGTAAATCTTATCTGAATACCTATCTGTTTAATCCTGCCATAGGTTTGTAGCACCTCATAAAGTAGGTATTGTCTGCTTCGTGACCTAAAGGACTGGAGACTCATTAACACTGCACATGAATCAGACCAAATAACTACTCTGTCTTGTTTGACTTCCTCCACCCACTGCAAGGCCAACAGTATGGCCATCAACTCTGCCGTATATCCAGCCAGATGATCTGTAATACGTTTCCTAACTTCCACCCCACATTCCTGCACTACAAATGCTGACCCAGTACATCCTGTCCTTGGATCTTTTGAACCATATGCGTAAATGGCCACAAAATCCTGATACACCGTTTCCAGACGTCTCTTAAAGAAATCAGCTGGATCCTCTCGCGAGTTTTCCACAATTACAGAATTTACTCACTAATCTTGGCTGCGTTCCAGGTGGTCGCGCTGCGCAGATGATCACTTCATCATCACACACACTTATCAGGAACCACATCAATATGACAGAAATCTTCTGAGCACATCTGAGAAGATTGCTTTATTATATTTATGTTGTTCCTGACACGTTAAACACTCCTCCAGGCGTTGTGAAATGTGATCAACTGCGCAGCGTGACTCTAATAAAGACTACCTACCTGGAACGCCTATATACGTGACGTTGAAGAGGACATTTTACTATTTATTGGCTGTAGATGGCGCTTTAAAGCCATCTAATCAAACGTCTCTCCTTGATGGCTAGCAAGAAATGTTTGACCAGGCATCACTTTCGCAACTGTCTAGCAGAGGACATAGCACAGACCAATGACTGCATACATAAATGGACAAAGCCCTTGATCACGTGACACCATTCATTCCTATGAGAAGCCTCAATAGCGCCACAGAGTTTCTAAACCCAGAGGCACAACATCGTGAGACTTTCGGGAACCCTTGTGAAGCAGACCATCCCGGGAGTTTGAGAAGTCAATGAGCCTATGAGAGAAGTGAAAAATTATTCCTTATTTGTTAATTTTCTTGAAATCTAAAAGCACAACCTACATTCGAGACAATGTCTTAAGTAGTTGAACATGTTATTACTCCAACCTCGTGAAAGTGACAAACTTAGTGTGCCTTTGATTTGTGCCTTTGATTTGACAGCATGCACATTTGTAGTTCGGCGCGAGATACCTACAAATTCTAACCTAAACTTAAGACCAAAAAGCATATTTTTGTTTTTATGAATTTTTACGATATTGCTAATTTAGACTTTGTGGCTGTGGTAACTAGTGAAACCCCGTTAGACCCAATGATAACTGATAGTGGGTGCTGTATTGAAGCCACCGCGCAGCCATCTTGGTACTCCTCCTCCGTTGAAAATAAAAATATTTTGGAAGCTATAGAAATACATGTATTAATGTCTAGATTCGTTTTTGACATGTTTATTATATTACAGACACCTTAATGCATACTTTTAAAATATATTATGTTAGCTAAACATGAAAAATATAAAATATACAAATCAAATCTTGAAGTATACCAGGGCTGCAGGTAGCTTAGTGGTTAAGAGCGTTGTGTCAGAAACAGTAATAGATGTGCCCTTGAGCAAGGCACTTAACCCTAATTGCTCCTGTAAGTCGCTCTGGATAAGAGCGTCTGCTAAATGACTTATTATTATTATAGAGTACTAATGTTACTGTCCCCATTACAAAGCATTTCTTAAATACATGTAATTTAGTCCTTAACATTTAATTTCAATACTGTAAAATTCCATTCATTCCTGCTCCTACTGGGGAGTGCCAATATGGCCGACCGGTGGCTTCAAAGCATCTCAATGACCAATACATAGCATCAGCAATCCAGGGTTTATACACATCATTGGTTAGACACGATGACATGTTTCTGCGCATGAGCTTAGCTAGCCAACATCGCCATGTCATCGCCTACAAGCGTGATCGGGATTTTCTATTGGTGTAAAATAGGCCGTCCTGCTCCTCTCCTCTCTACCTAACTTTCCCTCACAGTCCCTTCAGTTTCCCTTAAATCCCGTTCGTTTGGCTGCTCAGCCTCCCTAAATTATCCCTCACCCATCATTGCCCTGCCATTCCCAACCAATCAGAGCGCTTGGAAATGCGCATCTGGACACTGCACCCACCCACTCAGGTCAGAGTGTTATCGTCGTCCAAAGGGAGAAGAAGCATGTTTCTGAGGACTTTTTATTGTCGACATTAACACGAATGTCTGAATGCTGTGTGTGCATCGAAATAACCACAACAATAAGATTCCAAGTCATTCGGATTACCAAAATCATATAAACATTCTCAAATGGAAACAGCTGTGTCTGTGTGTGTGTGTGTGTGTGTGTGTGTGTGTGTGTGGTGAAGACAATCAAGAGTACAGTGATGGGCCTCAACATCATGTTCTAACCAGACAGCACTACAGAGGGCAGAATCAAACCAATCAGTTATAAGTATATGTCCCCTGTAGCTCAGTTGGTGGAGCATGGCGCTTGCAACGCCAGGGTTGTGGGTTCGTTTCCCACGGGGGGCCAGTATGAAAATCTATGCACTCACTAACTGTAAGTCGCTCTGGATAAGAGCGTCTGAAAATATAAAATAAAAATAAGTATATAGCGGGTGAGGGCATTCACAGCCGACCGCTCAAACGGCTGAGGGCATACCAGCCAACCATTTTTACGTGGTCCTTCTAGACGGATTTAGTGACCAAAGTTTTTTACATGGTCCGTCATTTCTCCGGATTTAGCGACCAACAGTTTTGACAATTGGAGAAGCAGTTTCTAACTATCTTCATACTGTACTGTATTTGATAGTGCACTGAAGCCATTGAGCTATAATAAGAACTGGAGAGACAGCCTCCAAGATGGCCGACCGTTGAAGTAATCTATAGTGCATTCAGAAAGTATTCAGACCCCTTGACTTTTTCAACAAAAAAAATTACGTTACAGCCTTATTCTAAAATGGATTAAATTGTTTTTGTCCCCTCATCAATCTACACACAATACCCCATAACGACAAAGAAAAAACGTGTTATTTGAAATTGTTGCTAATTTATAAAAAAAAATACAAAACTGAAATATCATATTTACATAAGTATTCAGACCCTTTTACTCAGAACTTTGTTGAATCACCTTTGGCAGCGATTACAGCCGTGAGTCTTCTTGGGTATGACGCTACAAGCTTGGCACACCTGTATTTGGGGAGTTTCTCCCATTCTTCTCTGCAGCTCCTCTCAAGCTCTGTCAGGTTGGATGGGGAGTGTCGCTGCACAGCTATTTTCAGGTCTCTCCCGAGATGTTCGATCAGGTTCAAGTCCTTGGCTCTGGCTGGGCCACTCAAGGACATTCAGAGACTTGTCCCGAAGCCACTCCTGCGTTGTCTTGGCTGTGTGCTTAGGGTCGTTGTCCTGTTTGAAGGTTAACCTTCGCCCCAGTCTGAGGTCCTGAGCGCTCTGGAGCAGGTTTTCATCAAGGATCTCTCTGTACTTTGCTCCGTTCATCTTTCCCTTGATCCTGACTAGTCTCCCAGTCCCTGCCGCTGAAAAACATCCCCACAGCATGATTCTGCCACCACCATGCATCACCGGTGCCAGGTTTCCTCTAGACGTGACGCTTGGCATTCAGGCCAAAGAGTTCAGTCTTGGTTTCATCAGACCGGAGAATCTTGTTTCTCATAGTCTGAGAGTCCTTTAAGTGCCTTTTGGCAAACTCCAAGCTGGCTGTCATGTGCCTTTTACTGAGGAGTGGCTTCCGTTTGGCCACTCTACCATAAAGGCCTGATTGGTGGAGTGCTGCAGAGATTGCTCAGTTTGGCCGGGTGGCCAGCTCTAGGAAGTCTTGGTGTTTCCAAACTTCTTCCATTTAAGAATGTGTCACGCCCTGACTCAGGGGGCTCGTATATGTTGAGTCAGGGTGTGTATGTTCTATGTTGTGTATTTCTATGTTGGTTTTCTAGTATGTGTATTTCTATGTTGGCCGGTGTGGTTCCCAATCAGAGGCAGCTGTTGCTCATTGTCTCTGATTGGGGACCATACTTAGGCAGCCTATTGGCACTAGTGGGTTGTGGGATCTTGTTCCAGTTAAGGTATGTTGTGTTGTGCTGCCTTGGACTTCACGGTTCGTTTTGTTGTTTTGTCGGTTGTTTATTCCTTTAAATAAACATGTATGCATATCAAGCTGCGCCTTGGTCTGACCCGTCTGTAAGCGAACGTGACAGAAGATCCCACCAAACGAGGACCAAGCAGCGTGTCCAGGAGCAGACAGCCTGGACCTGGGAGGAGATCCTGGACGGTAAGG